CGGAACCCAAAGCTGTACCGCCTCTCAGCATTCAAATTCTGCATACGGAAGCGAATTCCAGGGAACAGCAACACGGGGTTTTTGTGGTTGGTGGTGGTTTCGCTTTTTTGTTTTGTGTCTTTTATCTGACTTTCAAGGAGGAGGAAGAAGGTGGAACGGAGGAAGGGTGAACAGATGCGGCCTGGTGTTCATAGGCTGATGTGGGAAATGAAGCACGCAGCTGTGGCGGGATGGAAGGGCGCCGTTGTCCAAAAGAGCAATGGACTGGCGACCCACTTACGAGACGGCGGCCCTCTGTGCACCCCTTAATGATAATCAGGTAAGTGGCAAAGCCCGCCCCGGATCATCTTGGCTCCTGTGGGAGGCCGCCCTGTGTGTGGCTCCCTCCCCGTGTCTCAGGCGCGGGAGAAGGCGGCCGGCGGCTGCAGCGGGATGTCCTGCCCGCCCCGCTGGTGCTGCACGGCTGTGCTGTGTGTGTGTGTGTGTGTGTGTGTGTGTGTGGAGCTGGCCACGTGGAGATGCGTGCGGCCGCCATGGGAAGCAGCCTCTGCTGGCCCAGCCAGCCCTCCACTGGGCATCCAACCGGACTGGACGGCTCCATGGTCTGCGTCCCACTGCGCATGTGCCTCGAGTTTCTCCTCAGCCTCAGTTCTCAGGATTTGAACTCTCCCCGGGCTGGTGTGTGCGCTCCTCCTCTGGCTCTGACCTCCACAGGCCCAGAAAACTCCTCGTGCCTCAGCAGCCACGTCCTCCGGTCCACAAAGACTCAGGCCCACGGGGAGGCGGCCTCGCTCTCCGCCCCACTGTGTGTGAAGGGTGTGAAGGCATGAAGTTCACACGCGTGTCTGCTCCACTCTGCTCCGCAGAGGCCTCCGCATGTTCTGGGGGCCACTGCCCGCTGGGAGCAGATGCCAGGCTCCCGTTTTCCCAAGGGCGATGTCACGCGTGGCCGCCCGGACACCAATTTCCCACATGTCTGGCTCCATTCACCCGGCAGGCGCGAGCGGCACCGGAGACAGCCTGGAACCTCTGCTTCCCCCCAATGGGCCGACCCGCCGGATCATCGTCGACAGCCCAGGCAACCGAGACCCTAATGAACCCCTTTACGGGATCAGGAGCGGTTGCAATCATTCTGCTATAGGAACCGGAAATGGGCTAAGTATAACAAGCACCTTCTCCAGAAACTTCCAGCTCACAGCTGCAAGAGCAGGGCAGGACCAGCAGGCACTATTTCTGAATAAGGGCTGAGTGTCAGGGTGTGTGCTGTCTGCTCAGGATGACGGCTCTGTGGCCAACAGCTCTGTGGTACAGGATGATGACTGTGGTGACAGTGCTGTGGTACAGGATGATGACTGTGGTGACAGTGTTGTGGTACAGGATGATCACTGTGGTGAGTGCTGTGGTACAGGATGATGACTGTGGTGACAGTGCTGTGGTACAGGATGATGACTGTGGTGACAGTGCTGTGGTACAGGATGATGACTGTGGTGACAGTGCTGTGGTACAGGATGATGACTGTGGTGACAGTGCTGTGGTACAGGATGATGACTGCGGTGACAGTGCTGTGGTACAGGATGATGACTGCGGTGACAGTGCTGTGGTACAGGATGATGACTGTGGTGACAGTGCTGTGGTACAGGATGATGACTGTGGTGACAGTGCTGTGGTACAGGATGATGACTGTGGTGACAGTGTTGTGGTACCGGATGATCACTGTGGTGAGTGCTGTGGTACAGGATGATGACTGTGGTGACAGTGCTGTGGTACAGGATGATGACTGTGGTGACAGTGTTGTGGTACAGGATGATCACTGTGGTGACAGTGTTGTGGTACAGGATGATGACTGTGGTGAGTGTTGTGGTACAGGATGATGACTGTGGTGAGTGCTGTGGTACAGGATGATGACTGTGGTGACAGTGCTGTGGTACAGGATGATGACTGTGGTGACAGTGTTGTGGTACAGGATGATGACTGTGGTGAGTGCTGTGGTACAGGATGATGACTGTGGTGACAGTGCTGTGGTACAGGATGATGACTGTGGTGACAGTGTTGTGGTACAGGATGATGACTGTGGTGAGTGCTGTGGTACAGGATGATGACTGTGGTGACAGTGCTGTGGTACAGGATGATGACTGTGGTGACAGTGCTGTGGTACAGGATGATGACTGCGGTGACAGTGCTGTGGTACAGGATGATGACTGTGGTGACAGTGTTGTGGTACAGGATGATGACTGTGGTGACAGTGTTGTGGTACAGGATGATGACTGTGGTGACAGTGCTGTGGTACAGGATGATGACTGTGGTGACAGTGTTGTGGTACAGGATGATGACTGTGGTGACAGTGTTGTGGTACAGGATGATGACTGTGGTGAGTGTTGTGGTACAGGATGATGACTGTGCTGAGTGCTGTGGTACAGGATGATGACTGTGGTGACAGTGTTGTGGTACAGGATGATGACTGTGGTGACAGTGTTGTGGTACAGGATGATGACTGTGGTGACAGTGTTGTGGTACAGGATGATGACTGTTGTTACAGTGCTGTGGTACAGGATGATGACTGTGGTGAGTGCTGTGGTACAGGATGATGACTGTGGTGACAGTGTTGTGGTACAGGATGACTGTGGTGAGTGTTGTGGTACAGGATGATGACTGTGGTGAGTGTTGTGGTACAGGATGATGACTGTGGTGACAGTGTTGTGGTACAGGATGATGACTGTGGGGACAGTGCTGTGGTACAGGATGATGACTGTGGTGAGTGTTGTGGTACAGGATGATGACTGTGGTGACAGTGTTGTGGTACAGGCTGATCACTGTGGTGAGTGCTGTGGTACAGGATGATGACTGTGGTGAGTGTTGTGGTACAGGATGATGACTGTGGTGACAGTGTTGTGGTACAGGATGATGACTGTGGTGACAGTGTTGTGGTACAGGATGATGACTGTGGTGAGTGTTGTGGTACAGGATGATGACTGTGGTGAGTGCTGTGGTACAGGATGATGACTGTGGTGAGTGCTGTGGTACAGGATGATGACTGTGGTGACAGTGTTGTGGTACAGGATGATGACTGTGGTGAGTGCTGTGGTACAGGATGATGACTGTGGTGACAGTGTTGTGGTACAGGATGATGACTGTGGTGAGTGTTGTGGTACAGGATGATGACTGTGGTGAGTGCTGTGGTACAGGATGATGACTGTGGTGAGTGTTGTGGTACAGGATGATGACTGTGGTCACAGTGTTGTGGTACAGGATGATGACTGTGGTGACAGTGTTGTGGTACAGGATGATGACTGTGGTGAGTGTTGTACAGGATGATGACTGTGGTGAGTCCTGTGGTACAGGATGATGACTGTGGTGACAGTGCTGTGGTACAGGATGATGACTGTGGTCACAGTGTTGTGGTACAGGATGATGACTGGTGACAGTGCTGTGGTACAGGATGATGACTGTGGTGACAGTGTTGTGGTACAGGATGATCACTGTGGTGAGTGCTGTGGTACAGGATGATGACTGTGGTGACAGTGCTGTGGTACAGGATGATGACTGTGGTGACAGTGCTGTGGTACAGGATGATCACTGTGGTGACAGTGTTGTGGTACAGGATGACTGTGGTGAGTGCTGTGGTACAGGATGATGACTGTGGTGACAGTGCTGTGGTACAGGATGATGACTGTGGTGACAGTGCTGTGGTACAGGATGATCACTGTGGTGACAGTGCTGTGGTACAGGATGATGACTGTGGTCACAGTGTTGTGGTACAGGATGATGACTGCGGTGAGTGCTGTGGTACAGGATGATGACTGTGGTGACAGTGCTGTGGTACAGGATGATGACTGGTGACAGTGTTGTGGTACAGGATGATGACTGTGGTGACAGTGCTGTGGTACAGGATGATGACTGTCGTTACAGTGCTGTGGTACAGGATGATGACTGTGGTGAGTGCTTTGGTACAGGATGATGACTGTGGTGAGTGTTGTGGTACAGGATGATCACTGTGGTGACAGTGCTGTGGTACAGGACAGCACCATGGGGCCAGGATGGTGATTTTGGCCGAAGCACCGTGGTACAGGGACAATGACTCTGTGGCCGAGAGCACCATGGAACAGGGTTGGTGATTCTGGCCGACAGCGTTTGGTACAGGGACAATGGCTCTGTGGCCAACAGCACTGTGGCAGTGACGGCGACTCTGGCTGACAGTGCCGTGGTACAGTTTCTGACAGGAACAATCTGACATTAGTTCTATCATATACCTGGGTGGCTGGTCTCAAGTGAAGAGTCTACAGAATCTGAGGGAGAAGTGAGTTTGCGGGGTGGGAAATGCGCTGCGCCACTAGCCTGACACTGTGTCATTCCATGTTCACACCGCCTGGAACCCAGGGGCCACACACAACCCACTATGTGCCAGAGCCACTAAGTGACGTCAGTTATTTAATAAAACACACAGATGGGTGTGGTGGCCACACCTGTCACCCCAGTGCTAGGACTCAGGAGTTGAAGCATGAGTTGGAGAGTGAGACCATGTCTCAAAAATTCAAACCAGCTAGGAATCGGTGGCTCACACCTGTCATCTAACTACTCAGGAGGCAGAGATCTGAGGATGGTTTGAAGCCAGCATGGGCAGGAAAGTTCGTGAGACTCTCTACAAATGACTAACAAATTGCTCGAAGTGGAGCTGTGGTGCAAACAGTGGAGTGCTAGACTTGAGCAAAAAAGCTCAGGGGGCTGGCAAGGTGGCTCAGTGGTAGAGCGCTTACCTTGCATGCATGAGGCCCTGGGTTCAATTCCTCAGCACCACATAAGCAAAAAGAAAAAAGCTGGAAGTGGTGCTGTGGCTCAAGTGGTAGAGCACTAGCCTTGAGCTGAAGGGCTGAGGGACAGCGCCCAGGCTGAGTTCAAGCCCTACCAATGGGTGTACGCATACATATACGTACACACAAAATCAAAGCAAGCCAAAATAGTAAGAAATCATACAGATGTAACACAGAATTGAGTGAGAGACAAAATATATAAAATAACCTCTATTGCATCAAAATGTTGGATGAGCAATAAAAAATTTCAATCCACAGTAGTAGATATTTACAAGACTATCAACTGACTTTGTCAAAATTCAATTGCATTGAAAGTATTAATAAACACATCAAGTATCACAGTTAACTGGTTTTTAACCTTTTGACCAATATAAAAGACAATCCATCAATTAATGACCATTAGCACCCTCTAGTGGCAGAGTTCATCATTACAGGAATTAAGACAAGCATGGAGATGGGTCAGGATAGAAAACACAGCCCACGGAAGCACTCACCTCTCTCCCAACTTAAATACGTGTTATTTTATAAGCTTGTATTACAATATAAGCTTGGATTACAAAAATTATCTCAAGGACTGGGGTGTAGTTTAAGCAGGATGCTTAAACCTTGTAACCAAATAATCTCTCACAATACAGTATTTAAAATGTGATGAGAGTTGTTAAGCCCTTTTACACTCTCCTGATGTTCAGAAAATAAGCGTGCTGCTGTAGGATGTAACATGCACGTGGCTACACACTAGACGACAGGACATTTTGGTCGAGTACCGCTTGTGCTCCGCAGCCCTACATCCTCAGCATGGCTTTGCCCTGAAGAGACTTGGTGGCCAGGCCAGCCTTCTCTCGCAGCTCGCTGGCCTCCTCGGCACTCTGGTGGGCCTGCACGTGCTTCAGTAAGAAGTGGCCAATGAAGAGCTTCAGGCTTTCCCGCAACACGCCCAGCTTTGGGTTCTCAGACACTCTGGAAGGAAGCAGATGGAGGCAGGATGGGCTCATCTCCCACGTTTCAATACCAGGTGCTTCGACCGAGAGGGAGGGTCCACATTCTTGTATCCATTTTTGGGGTGTTGTGGATCAAACCCAGGGTCTTGCATGTGCTGGGCAAGCACCCTACCCCTGAGTGATAGCCCCGCCTTCCAGTTTAAAATCCTTCTCTCTTGGGCTGGGAAGTTGGCTCAGTGGTAGAGCGCTTGCCTTGCATGCCTGAGGCCCTGGGTTCGATTCCTCAGCACCACATAAGCAGAAAAAGCCGGAAGTGGTGCTGTGGCTCAAGTGGTAGAGCGCTAGCCTTGAGCTGAAGAGCTGAGGGACAGCGCCCAGGCCCAGAGTTCAGGCCCCACAACCGGACCAAAAAAAATAAAATCCTTCTCTCCTTCCCTTCCTCTCTCTACTCCTTTCTTGGTGGAGTCTGGCTGTGTTGCCCAAGTTGGCTTTCAACTCCCAACTCAGTTTCCTGAGCAGCTGGGACGATAGCTGTACTTCACCACACCCAGTTCCTTTCAAAAATAGAATCTTTTGCCCAGTTGGCTTTCAACCACTACCTTCCCATTACTTCTGGCTCCCGAGTGGCTGAGATTTCAGGTGGAGACACCTTGCGTGGCTAATTAAAAACATACCCAAGACTGATCTCTAATTAACCAGCATAAAACCAGAAGTGGAGGTGTGGCTCAAGTGTAGTTACGAGTGAAACAGCTGAATGAGGCGGGTGCTGGTGGCTCCCGCCTGTATTCCTAGCTGCTCACCAGGCTGAGATCTGAGTCTGTATTCCTAGCTGCTCACCAGGCTGAGATCTGAGTCTGTATTCCTAGCTGCTCACCAGGCTGAGATCTGAGTCTGTATTCCTAGCTGCTCACCAGGCTGAGATCTGAGTCTGTATTCCTAGCTGCTCACCAGGCTGAGATCTGAGTCTGTATTCCTAGCTGCTCACGAGGCTGAGATCTGAGTCTGTATTCCTAGCTGCTCACCAGGCTGAGATCTGAGTCTGTATTCCTAGCTGCTCATGAGGCTGAGATCTGAGTCTGTATTCCTAGCTGCTCACGAGGCTGAGATCTGGGTAAGGATTGAGATTTCAAGCTGTCCTGGCCAGTAAAGTCCACAAGACTCTTACTTCCCACGACCACCTAACAGCCAGAAATGGAGCTGTGGCTCAGGGGGTGGAGCACGAGCCGTGAGCACAGGAGCTTGGGGGCAGCGCAGGGCCCCAGCACTGGCACAAACAAACAAACAAAGCCCTGAGTTCAAGCCCAGTGCCGCCACTAAAAAGAGAACCCGGAAGAGGTTCAGTGGTGTGCATGAGCCCTGGGTTTAAGAACTAGGAAGAGGTTCAGCGGTGGACTCGAGTCTTGGGTTTACGCCCAGTGCAAAACAAAACCACCGTCAAGAAACAATCAACATATCCTAAGAAACTGTTCATTATCAGGCAAGTTTACATTACTTAAATTGGCTCCGAACTGAAACTAAAATGGTTTCTAAATCAACAAGAGTGAGGACAAGCTGGACACTTACTTGGCAAAAATCAAACCCAGGTCTTCAACTTCTGTTTCCATTAACACAATAGTTAGCACTTTCCGTAAAAAGTGAACTCTGGGTTTGTCAAGCTCACTGAACTCGACCACCTAGCAGCCGGGAGACAGAGAAAAGCAGCGTTAGACAAGGTTAGCCCAGGTTGCCCAGTCTGTAGGCGCGAGTGCCCCTCCCCTCGCCAGCCCCGATTCCAGAGGAGCGGGCCGGCACCTTCCGCAGCAAGCAGCGGCAGGCGGCAAGCAGAGCTGCGGAAGGATTAAAACCAACCACGGCCACCCCCAAACTGACTCCCAACTACAGCTCTGCGTAGACTTATGACATATTTCTCTCAAGAAAATGTTTGAAAAACCCAGAAATGCTCTCAACATTAAGCAGAGAAACTGTACTACACTCCTCCAGTAGAACACCAACTGCAGACAAGCAGAGCTGCAGACGGAGCTGCTAGGCGCACAGCACCGCCGATGACATCCGCTCTGTTCACAGGTGCAGTGCAGTAGTGTGCAAAGGCTGTCTGAGGGGGGAGAGGGGTACAGCCAGAGCTGGGGCCAGGGGGGCTCCCGGGGCTATGTCCTCCACAGCAGGTTCCTGCGGCACTGCCCCCCTGGGGCTGGCACTGCCCCCTGCAGCCACGCCACTCTCTGTGGTGACTGCGTCCATCTGCCACCTTCTCATGCCCACTCCCAAAACCATGGCCTTCAGACCACTGGGAAGGGCTCATCAGCCCTGCATTTTGGCACAGGGGCCAGTCCCATAGATGTCCTGCTCAATGGCAGGTGATGTCACAGGCCTGACTGCAGGGAGCCATGGGTCAGCTGCAGACCGGGAAAACCATCACCGTCAGCACGGACACATCTGCATGGTGGTCCTGCCAAACCCAGTCTGCAGGAGTTAAGGATTATTTTAGGATCCCCATGTCCTGATGGCCCCATGACCGAAGTGTTGGCAGGCTCCACCCTTGTGTGTCTGGGCATCTCTGTCCCCCCGACAAACATCTGGGCGCGGGCACTTCGTGTCTCTAAGGGCCCCACACACTTCAGGTGTAGGAGTCCGCAGCGTTAGTGTCTCACACCAGAGACTGGGTACCCATGTCCAACGGGAGACCAGTCCCACTCACTTCCACTCTGCCCCAGCTTACAGGACCAGATCAGGGGTTAATCCATCAGGCTGGAGCATTAACCACAAAACCTCCAAACAGATAGATATAACCTATAGAGCCCAGTACTCCTGTACCTGGTCACAAGTTTACTAAGTCAATTTATACTGTAGGTTACTCTACTTTGAAAATACTTCTCAGCATCCTGGAAGATGTAACTTTTTTTTTTTTTTTGGTCGGTCGTGGGGCTTGAACTCTGGGCTTGGGTGCTGTCCCTGTACTCTTCAGCTCAAGGCAAGTGCTCTACCGCTTGAGCCACAGCGCCACTTCCAGTTTTCTAGTGGTTTATTGGAGATAAGAGTCTCACAGACTTTCCTGCCCGGGCTGGCTTTGAACTGCGATCCTCAGATCTCAGCCTCCTGAGTAGCTAGGATTATAGGCGTGAGCCACTGGCACCCGGCAAGATGTAAGTTTTGAAGTGCCAAACACCAAGCATTTTACTATCACTTTCATTGTTTTAGGTGATTTCCTACATCATACAAACCTTCAGGATGGAAAGTGGAAGTGATTTTGTCTTCAGCAAGTGCGCTACGAGGTGAGCCAAATTTGAGACGTTAGTGGCTGGCAAATTTTCTAAGTCCCGAAATTTGTCCCATATGCTGAACTGGAAAGTCATCTATGAAGAGTGGAGGGAAGAATAATCAGTTTCCCCTAGGAACGTGTCATAAAGCCCCTCCTTCCCTCCTGAGGACGCTGACCAGAGGCCTTTCCCTCCTTAGCTGTGCTCTACCACTGGAGCCATGCCCCAGCATTTTCTGGCTTACTTGTTTTTTCAAATAGGGTCAGTGTTCACACCTCAGCTGGCTTGGACCACAATCCTATCTACACACTGCCTACAGCTAGGAAGACAGGCCTAGCCCCCAAACTCCAATTTTCTTGGTTGAGGTGGGGCCTTGCCAACTTTTCTCAGGACTGATCTCAAACCCGAATAGCTAGTATTACAGGTGTAACCAACATACCCCACATCACTTTTTTTGTGTGTCCCTGGGCCTTTGTGCTCAAGGCTCACCAGTGCTCTACCACTTTGCACCAAAGCACCATATACAGCTCTTTGGGTAGTTCCCTGGAGATGAACTGGTCTGGCTTTGAACTGAGATCCCCAGATCTCAGCCTCCTGAGTAGCTAGGATGACAGGCCTGAGCCCCCAGCGCCCAGCCCCCTTCACCTATTTTCAATGAGCTCATTATGAAGGGTTTGAGGAGCCCCAGCACCATCATTTCTCAGAGACCATGTTGGCACAGCACAACAGTGAATACTTTAGGCTATAGCCCTTCCTTCAAACCAGCAGAGACCAACCAAGACTGAAGAAGCCTGGTCCCTGGTGGTGTGAGAATTAGAGACTCTTAGCAGTACTAAGAGTAAAGCTTATAGTGATGAGTGTGTGTAAATATGTGTGTGTGTGTATACATATATATATACACACACACACACACATATATATATATATATATCCCACAACAATCTACCTATGTACATCACAAAGAAAAAACGGTACTATGTCATTTGCAGGAAAATGGAGGGAAACGGAGATCATCATGTTGAATGAGGTAGGCCAAGCCCAGAAAGCCAAAAATGTCATGTTGTTATTTGTAGACTCTAGACCTAAAATAAAGAGGATGATAATAATGATGGGACATGAATGCAGAAGGGGGAGCTGTTTGGGTGAGGGAAAGGATAAGAAGGGGTGACGAGGACCGAAGGATACAGTATACATGTCTGTGTATATGAATACAATACACATGTAAGTGCATGTCCACACAGCCTAATGAAACACAACACTGAAAAGGGGGAAGACGAAGGGGAGGAGGGCAATGTAATGGGGGAGGTAAACTTGTTTAAGGTACACTCTATGCCTGTGTGAGATCATTACCACGAAACCCCTTCTATTACTGACGCATGATAACTCAAAAGTTAAACAAAAAAGCAGACGGTCAATTCTGGCCACAACGCTGCCGGAGACAGCACAGGGTCTCGGAGGGCTCCAAGGGGCGCCTGCCCGATGGCACAGGGAGCGTCTATCTAGTTACCTGGAACCGCCGCTCATAGCTGCAGAACTTGCTGGCCAGGAAGGCGTAGAAGGGGTTGTATGTTTTCTCTTGCAGGCAGCAGTCCATGAGCACGTGGACCACCTCTCTCTCCTGCTGCTCCTTCAGCCCCAGCCTGCAGCACACAAACAGCCACTAAGTCCACATCCACGTCCAGTTTTCACAGCAGTCTTTTAGAGGACTCTTCTTGTCCATAAGAGTCGGGTGAGGTGAGGTGTGGTGAGGTGAGGTGTGGTGGTAAGGTACACTGGGTGGCAGAAGCCAAAGATGTGGGCCATCTAATTTCTCTGTGCCTCAAGTTTTCCCAATCATGTGGGGCAAAATGTGGGTAAGTGCATGACCATGAGCTTTATGGCAGCTACTAAAGCCCAAAATCGGTGCCTGTAGAAAATAAGCAGGAGTCACTGGCTACACCCATAAAGACAGGTCATACTAAATTACTTCTTAATTTTTTGTGTGTCAGTCCTAGGACTTGAACTCATGGTCTAAGCACTGTCCCTGAGCTTTTATGCTCAAGGCTAGTGCTCTACCAATTGAGCCACAGCACTACTTCTGGTTTTCTGGTGGTTTACTGGAGATAAGAGGCTCACAAATGCTGCTGCCCAGGCTGGCTTTTAACCATGAACCTTAGCTCTCAGCCATCTAAGTAGCTAGGATGACAGGTGTGAGCCAGCAGTGCCCAGCTAGCATCTTCATTTTTCTTTGCAATTCATGGGGCTAGAACTCAGGTCCTAGATACTATCCCTAAACTCTTTTGCTCAAGGCTAGTGCTTTACCACTTTGAGACACAGTACCACTTCCGGTTTCCTGGTGGTTAACTGGCGATAAATTTTCCTGCCTGGGCTTGGCTTTGAACCATGATCCTCAGATCTCAGCCTCCTAGAAGCTGGGATTGTAATTGTGAGCTGCCAGCACCTGGCTTAGCTTCATTTTTAAGAAGTAAAACGTCCAGTAAAATTCATTCTTTTAGCACACAGCCCTCTAAATGCAGACAAGCCACAGGGCTATGCCAAACAGGTAACCACCATTGTAGAAATGGAAAGTTCTATCTTCCCAAACCACCACTCCTTCTGCTAAGATACAGCGCTTCTGCCAAGACACAGGCTGTCATGCATTTTCTGTCCCTTTAGATCTGCCCCTGCCAGAATGCCATATAGTCAAGCAGGGGCAGAGACTGGCTGCGTGTACTCAGCAGAACCCACTTCAGAAGTCCTGTGCTACTGTGGCGCTGACACTCTGCTCTCTGCAGTGCCGGATGGTGAGCAGTGTACTCACAGCAGACAGGACCCATGCTGGTGTGCCTTCTCTATACAGCTTAGGTCTGGAAGGTGGCCTAAAAGTCATGTGCCTTGGTCTTGGTCTGTGGCACTTCCGCAGGCGGTAGTGCCTTTGGGAAGGGGTCTGGTGGAAGTTAGGTCATGAGAGCATGCCTGGAAGGAGATCATGGAATCCAGCTGTTTCCATGGTGCCTTGATTTGAGCAGCATCCTCCATGTTCTGTCAGGATGTGCTGTGCTGTGCTGTGCTGTGCTGTGTGAAGCATGGCAAAATAACTGAGAACTGAAACCTCCTTCAGGTCCATTTTCTGAGGTATTCCACTACAGCAAAGGAAGAAAGCTAACATGACAGGACAGGCTTTGGAGAGACACCCCCACCCCCCCACCTGAAGCCTGCTTCCCCCTTGTGCTTCAACTCGAGCCACCTCTTGCTCAGAGGTTCAGGGGAGAATGATTGAAGGGGTGACACTGGTCAAGAAGGCTGAGATCGGCTGGGAAGGTGGCTCAGTGGTAGAGCGCTTGCCTTGCATGCATGAGGCCCTGGGTTCGATTCCTCAGCACCACATAAGCAGAAAAAGCCGGAAGTGGTGCTGTGGCTCAAGTGGTAGAGCACTCACCTTGAGCTGAAGAGCTGACGGACAGCGCCCAGGCCCAGAGTTCAGACCCCACGACCCACCAAAAAAAAAAAAAAAAGGCGGCTGAGATCGGAGGGTTGCGATTCAGAGCCAGCCCAGGCAGACAAATGAGAGACTCCCCTCTCCAACTAGTCTGGTCAGGACTGGAGGCATGGCCGAAGTGGTAGTTCCCTCTACACACGTGCCACCCAGATAAGAGGACAGTCACAAGAAAAGCCAGTTATGCATTCAGTCAATCAAAACACAAACACCAGATCAATTAATGTCTCTGCCAACATTGAAAACACAACAGGCAGAAAGGCTGACACAGAGGCTTACTTGAGTAGCTTTTCAAAAGCATCCAGAAAGTCCTCACTCATCATGATTGTGCAGAATATGTTCCTCCTGACATCGGTGTTCATCCTTTGCTTCCGGGCAAGCTCCAGCATCTTTGAGCTCACCTGAAAAGAGTAAGATGCGTATATGACTAACACACAAGATGAAATATGCCATCCTATGGCTTAGCATTACTCAAGTTTCTAAAGTGTAATTTGTACAATATTGTGGGGCTTGAGCTCAATACAGTTGTAAATTACTCGTGAGTGTTTGTACATAAGAGCCAACACTGGTCAGGCACCAATGGCTCAAGCCTATAATCGTAGCTACTCAGGAAGCTGAGATCTGAGGATTGCAGTTCAAAGCCAACCTGGACAGGAAAATCCTTGAGACTCTTATTTCCAATTAACCACCAGAAAACCAGAAGTGGCACTGTGACTCAAAGTGGCAGAGTGGTAGCCTTGAGCAAAAGAACTTAGGGACAGCATCCAGGCTCAGAGTTCAAGCCTATGACCCACAGAAAAAAAAAGCTCAGGGATAGTGCACAGACCGTGACCAGGACAGACACACACAGACACAGACACACACCACAAAGAAACACAAAAAATGTTTACAATTTGAAATCCAAGCCAATGGGGCTGAACTTCCAGGTCTTAGCAATAGGTATTTGAAGAATGAGTGTTTTGATTTTTGTATGTTTCCTTCATTCCATTCAATGTTTTCATCTTCTATGTGATGTGTCTGGGGTTTTGACAAACTCAGAAGGGCTAGATGGCAGTGGCATGAGTCACGGCCTGGCAGCCTAGAAAACAGGGTCTCCATACCTTGCCAGCAAGTGGTTTCTGCAGGTGTGTATGGTGACTGCTGTCGATCATGGGGGCTCCACTCCACGCAGACCCCACGATCCACCAGCGGCCGGTTTGCTCTGCATTCAAGATCCCATCCCAGGAGACACGAAGTTGAGTCTCAGAACCTGAGCCAGCACTGCGCACCTGATTAAGGGAAAGGGTCTTGTGAGATGTTCCTAACTTGTTCCAGCACATCTTCCTGCTTGAAATGGCATTTCTGGTGCATGACTATTGGGATGAACTGCTAACAATGGACAGTTGTCAGGAGTAGTAAATACATGTGTATTTGGGCCGTAACTCGGTGTGTTTGGAAAGCAGTCATATCAGGGGAAGACCACTGCCTCAGGCTCAGCACCAGCGGGAATGGGACCACGAGCCGGGGTTCTGCAAAGCCATGACCGTTAGACGGAGAACTTAGGAGAGCCATGACAACAGGTTCCTTCTGACTGGCTGGCATGCTGCAAGAGGGCCACCAGAGGACCCTAAAGACTAGCGGTGGCGCTCTGGGGCAAATCACATTCTCAACCAATATGAAGTGTTCCAGAGGGAGATTTGTGGCAGGCCTGGCCTGGAACCTCTCTGGAGACACTCGGTGCCTTCCACTCTTTCTCCGGACACTCGGGTGATGCCACATACATGACCTGGGGTCTGTGTCTCCATCATCATCAAATAGATACTAGTAGTGGGGAGGCTGGAGACAAACCAGGATGGGAAGGAACCTACCAGAGCTCTTTGTAACTTCCTCAGTTTCTCCACAGGCTCAGGGTCATAACCTGGAATTTTGCGCATGTCGTTGTTCTTTAACGCCAGCATCGTCTCCAGCATAAATCGTATCTTCAAGGAAAAGAAAAAAAGTGATCTTTTTGGATGTCTGTATGGTTGTTCCACACAGTACCATTGTATGACGCGGTGGATACTCATGGTCATTCCTACAGATAAGAAGTCAGGCCAGGCGCTGGTGGCTCACGCCTGTAATCCTAGCTACTCACGAGGCTGAGATCTGAGGATTGTGGTTCTAAGCCAGCCTGGGCAGGAAAGGCCACGAAAACTATTTCCAATAAACCATCAGAAAACCGGAAGTGGTGCTGTAGGTCAAGCAGTAGAGCGTTATCCTTGAGCTGAAGAACTGAGGGACAGCGCCCAGGCCGAGTTCAAGCCCCACGACTGGGGAAAAAAAAAAAATCACTACTTCCCCATATCCAGCAGTGACACTGGGGAACCTGTGTCAGAATCCTGGCTGCCAGTCGGGACACAGTAAGGCCACCTGCACTCCAGGTTCCACAGTACCCCACTGGCTCTCACAGGGACGGGACAAGCCTCCCGCTTTCTTCCTTCCTCAGAGGGCTTCTCGGGCTGCTCCACAGCTCCCAGCATGACTCATACAAGGTCACATCACAGACAGGGGAACCGAGGCTAGCAAGACCCCCTCGGGCACCACAGCTGTGGTAAATGTACATGCTGAATAGGCTTTGCTACTGTCCAAGCAGAGCCACACATCAAGCCAGTGTGGCACTTGAACCCACACCACAGGAGTGCTTATCCCCTCAGTAAATGTACATGCTGATGGGGTTGTTGTTTTTTTTTTTGTGGTGCCAGTACTGGGGCTTGAACTTAGGGCCTTGGCACCTTAGCTTTTTCAGTCAAAGCTAGCACTCTTATCATAACCACACTTTGAGCTATTCCTCGTTAACTGGAAGTAAGAGTCCAGGCTGGCTTTGAACTGTGACTCTCAGATCTCAAGTCTCCTTAATAGTAGGATTTAATTACAGGTATCACTGGTGCTTGGTTTGTGGAGCTGATTTTTAAATTCTGAGAACACTGATCTGCCCTTGTCAGTCATGGGGCTTGAACTCTGGGCCTGGGCGCTGTCCCTCAGCAATTCAGCTCGAGGCGAGTGCTCTACCACTTGAGCTACAGCACCACTTCCAGTTTTCTGGTGGTGGTTTATTAGAGATAAGAGTCTCACAGATTTTCCTGCCCGGGCTGGCTTTGAACCATGATCCTCAGATCTCAGCCTCCTGAGTAGCTAGGATTACAGGCCTGAGCCACCAGTACCTGGCTGATCTGTATTTTTAATGAAGAAGCAAAATTGGTTTGTAGATTAGATATAAAGTCACTGTATGACAGGGATGAAGGAAGCAGAAATCATAGGAAATGAAGTATAATATTTACCCCAAATACTTTTAGGGTGCTTTGCTTTGGGGGCACTTAGAAGCAGCTCAGTGGCACTCGTACCCTGGTCTGGTCCTGAAATCTGCAGCCCGCCCTGCTGGCCTTGGCCTGGGCTTCTGTGATCAGCTCCTTCAATGCCAACGGGTCATCTTTCCTCAGGGCAGAGCCCACGTTTTTCAGCATTAATAGGATTAGTTCAATGTCTTTTTCTGTGAAAGTTCCAATAAGTTTCTTCAAAATGTCAAAGACAAGAAGAGAATGCACCACGTGGAAGTTGTACAAATGGGCAACGATGGTGAATAGGTTGTCACACTCTTTGTCTTCACCTCCATTTTTATAGACATCATCAAACTTCCTCACCACAGCCTCCAGAAAGCCCGCGCCAACCTGAATGGGACAAGAGGACCCATGTTATCATGGTGGTCTTCAAACCGCACTGTTCCGTTTTATGCAGCACACAACAAGCACACAGGGCACAGCCTGACTAACACACATGCCTGCTTAGTTCATGGCACACGAACAAACACTGCACACTTAGTAAGGGACAGCACTTCACCATCTGCTGCAGTACACAAATATTTTCTGTAAAGATGTACTTTTCTCTTCAAAATCAACATTTTTGAGGGTCATTTCCGGTTCCTTGGAAAAATAAACTTGATTTTAAAAAGTCTTTTTCTGGCCAGGTGCTAGTGGCTCGTGCCTGTAATCGTAGCTCCTCAGGAGGTAGTGATCAGAGCACTGCGGCTCAAAGCCAACCTGGTCAAAAAAGTCCCTAGGACTCTACCCCCCAATTAGCAATCAAAAAGCTAGAAGTAGAGCTGAGGCCCAAGTGTTAGAGCACTAGCCTTGAGAAAAAAAAGCTTAAGTACCAGGCCCTAAGTTTAAGCACCAGGACCAGCACTCAGAGGCACACACAAGTCTATTTCTAAAAATGTACCACCACTGCTTGGCAATTCTCATTTCTCAGAAGACCTCTTCCAGATATTTCTTCCAAGTTAATTCCTGATCAGGAAGGAATGCAAGTGGGAAAGTGAAGGGCACGAGCAGGCAGGTGCAGCAGCTCCGCAAGGACAGGGAGTGGTGAACACACGCTGCCTCAGCCCACTCCCAGAGACCCTGGCTGAGACACGCGCTGTTCCTCAGGAGCCCCACAGCTACCGGCTGCCAGGCTCAAAGACAGAATCAAGTCAGGAACTAGCAGAGGCCCCATGAAGTTTGGTGACGTTACTATGGCACCTTCCCATTGCTGTTCTGGAACATTCTACTCCCAATTCAGTAATTTGGTACTGAAGGAGGAAGGCCTGGATTTGAATTTATCTGGTTTAAACTGGGACAATGAAATGCAAAGGCAGGAATGGCAGAGAGTATTTTGAGAGAATCACGGCAAGCCATTGTTCTCAACTCCTAGCCAATCTGAGAATGAGGGAGAAGACAGAGACAGGCATGGTGGTAAGGTGCCGAGGAGGGAGCAGTCCAGCTGGAGGCCATCATGCCGGCCTGGGGACTAAGGTCTGGGCACAGAGACCCCGCTGACAGGGCAGGGCAAATCACTGGCTGGCTAGGAATCCCCAGGGTTTGCCCTGGGTAATGAATGTGCAAGACGCAGGTTAGGGGGCTGGATAAATCCCTTCAAGGGCCTTCTCAGCTTCACTGCAGGACATCAGGCAGGACAGGCTGATGTTTGAGAAGTGCCAGTAATCTCAGGGGAGGATGAGACATGGCTCAGAGCACAACAGGAACATATACACACAGCCCTGCGAGAATCTAGAGAGGACAACAGATTCTCAGGAGGGAGGCAATGGTAATTGCTAGAAGTTGAAACTGAAGACTGAGACTTCATGTAACCTGAAAACTCACACTCAAGACCCTTTACTAGGGCTGGGAAGGTGGCTCAGTGGTAGAGCGCTTGCCTTGCATGCCTGAGGCCCTGGGTTTGATTCCTCAGCACCACATAAGCAAAAAGAAAAAAGCTGGAAGTGGCGCTGTGGCTCAAGTGGTAGAGCGCTAGCCTTGAGCTGAAGAGCTGACGGACAGCACCCAGGCCCAGATTTCAGCCCCCACGACCGGATCCCCCTCCCCCCCAAAAGAAGACTACTAAAGATAAACCTGAAGAATATTCTGTATTTGACTAACTACCATCTTAAATCCATGCACGAGTTAAGGAATCAGAATTCCACAGATAGGCAAAAAAATCCAGGCTCCAAATACATTCAGTTATGTGTCCAACATTACAAGTAGATTTAGTTATATAAAAATTTGTCAAAATTTAAATTCTATTGTCTTCAAAACTAAATATAGTTTTATAACAGTTAACACGAATATAATTCATGATGCAAAAATTATGACTCATATTGCAAAACTATACATTGACCCTGATGCGTGCATATTAGCACAAGTCTACATAGGTCTGATTTTAGATGACGTGTTGGAGCAATGCAGCAGCTGGAATCATGTCTCTTCTTCTTTCCATGAATTCCTGTGAGGACACTTCCCTCAGACAGCACCGGAGGAAGTTTAATGGAGCAGGGTCCTGAAAGCTCATCACATCCCTGGCAGGAGTTTTAGTGGATGTCATTAGCTAAATGACTTCCCCTTGAACAAGTCATCTCATTGTCCTTTATGCTATTAGCAAAGGTTTAAATGAGAAGTAGGACTAATGATATCATGTTTGCAATCAACTCAATCCCTGATGTGCTGTAGATGGTCAGGTCTATGACTTTCACTATAGCTCACTGAAATCCTATCTGTACAAAAACCATACATTACAAAGTCTGATGAAGTGCACCAGCGTGCCCTCGGAGGACGGGGATGTACTAAGCAGGCCACAGAACAACATGAATTACGGCAATCGCAGGGCACAAAGAAACATGTCCATGGCTTCCATTATGCTTTGTAATGGGAAGAAAATGGACTCACTCATGTGTGAAGTGAGTATAGCTCTTGGAACAAAAAGTTACTTCCAAAGACCATTCCCAACGCAGCTGGTACAAATGCTGCACAGCAGAGATCACAAGGGGTCGAGGGCTGTGCTGACATCTTCCTCTATCCGCACCCTCCCGGGCCCAACAGGTCTGAAGGCCTTCGTCTTCCAATGAGACTACTGCTGTATAACAAAGTTTAGAAGATGGTCTAGGAATAGCAAAGACTCCTGTAGCTGCAGCCAGCCAGGAAAACGGGGAGAACACAAGGTCGACAGGAACATCTCCTCCACCATTACCATGGTGAATCACTAGCCTTTAGTGAGTCCTCTGGGCCACTTGCACCCATCACCTAGAGGAAAGGAACTCCACCACTCTGACACAGACAGTGGTTGGGGGGGAGGGACAGACAATACCTCGATCCCAACCGTGTGGTGAAGGATGCTAACGAGGAGGACGTGCTCCATCATCAGTCTGCTGGGCATGGCCGTGGCAGTGGCGCAGGCGCCCATGAGGGCTGCGGTAAGGGTGTCGCTCATGTCCTTCCTGCTGTGGGTCATGTACAGCTCCTCCAGCTGCCCACTGATGGAGGCCATGTTCGGCTCACTCAGCCTGCAGCAGCAGAGAGTGAGCAAAGAAAGCAATGGTGTTCTAAATGTAGGACTTTTCAGGTCAATGAAAAACTAAGGAGTTACCAATACTACCCAGCCATCCTACTCCATCCACTCTTACTCCACTCTGGGCCTGCTGCAGTAATCTAGTGTGTGCTTCTTATAATCATACAGTTCAGAATCTCAGGTGTAACTGTCCCTTTGTCTCCTGTGGCAACCAAAGCACTCCATGGTCTCCAGGATGGAGGATGTGCCTATAGGACCAAGAACTGACATCCTAAGAACCTGGGACCACTCTAGAAAAAACACTACCTTTGGGGCTAGAGGCATGGCTCAGGTGGTAGAGCTCCAGGCTTTCAGTGAAAGTGTCAGACCCTCAATTCAAATCCTGATCCTGAGGGGAAGAGGAGAGAAATACTACCGTGCCCATCTCTGCACTGAGAACAGGCTGCTCCATCTGAGCAGGTGAGGAAGGAAGGCCATGTGTATCCAGACTACCCACCTTGCACCTGGGCTACCACTGAGCATCAAAACAGCAGGGTAAAATTCCAGCAGATGCTGTAGAAAGTGTTTGAGCTTTACTTAGAAACAGAAGCAATGTAGGAAAGAGGGAGTGTGACAAAGGGTGGAACAAGAGCCTTGTGGTGGAATGAATGCTTCTGTATCCTGTGATGGAATCGTTCTGTATCCTGTGGTGGAATGGCTCCATAGCTTGTGGAGAAATGTTCTATATCTTGTGATGGAATGGTTCTATCTTGCGGTGGTGTTTACATAATCTTCATCCCATAAAGCCACAGAATCACACACAGGTGTTTGGAAAATGGAGGAAGGTATGTAGGAACTCCCGTACTGCCTTTACAGGTCTCTGTGAATCTGTAGTAATTCCCAAATGAACATTTAACAAAGTAAAACACACTGGAAACTAGAGGTGAGGACAGTGGCCACCTCCAGAAGAGAGCTGGAAAGGGCCTCTGGGTAAGGAAAATGGGACAACTGGAGAAAAGTATTAGCAGACAAGAGTTTCAGTCAGTCTTCAAAGCTAGAGAGCCACGGAGGGGGTGTGAGTGACAAATGAAGTCCCATCTCTGTGGTTTCCAACAGGCATTATTTGATTTGTATTTACTCAGGGTCTCATGCCTGCTAGACAAATAGGCAGCGCCCTACCACTTGAGCCAGGCCTGCAGTCCTGTGTTTTACTCTTAAACTGGAGGTAGGAAATGCAGAAGTGAGCAGTGACCCAGAAGAGAGAGGCTGTCCAACTGAGTGGGCGTGCTCCTCCCTCACAAGGCTTTCTCTGCTCTTCCCAAGAGAACAATCTCCATCCCATTCCTTCCCAGTGTGGGCCAGGGGTTGCGTTCAAACAGACAGCCAGTACCAAATGGCCGGGCCTCCTCTCTGTCATAATACTATGGGTCTGGATGCATCTCTACATGCAAAGACCCTGTCACAGGTATTTCAGTCCCAGGACAGTCTCTGTATAGGGACACATGGATGGCCTTGGGACATGGGATGCAGCCATCAGGAAGGTTACCTGTTCATGAGGCCTTTAACCTGCTTCTTCAGCCTTTCTAGTTCTTCCTTCTTGCGGACATCCCCTGTGCCCTCCTCCGGCCTCACCCGAGGTGGGATGTACTTTCTACTAGGCTCACAAGGGCTCTCCTGGAAAAGAAGAATACATTGAGAGAAGAAAAAAAAGCTTTCCTCGTATGTTTGCACATTTACATTTAAATTCCCAGCCGCCTGCCACGGCTGTACGCGGGACAGGAGCTCTGGCTGCAGCGTCTAGAACCTTCCGGGTGGCCTGGGCGGCCTGGCCTCCCTCGATGGGCCGCGTCAAGCCGTCGAGGCCCCGCGCCCGAGGGCCGGCCCGCGGGGCTAGGAGGTGCGCCCGCTGCGCCCGCTGTACCTGACACGGCCCGTCGTCCTCTTCCTCTTCCGAGGAACTCTGGCTCGTGTCTTCGTCTTCCGAGGAACTCCGGGTTTCCTCTTCGTCTGCAAAACGGACTCTCTTCGGTGCGCTCTCCCCCCGCGCCTCGGCCTCGTCCTCGTCCTCGTCTTCCTCCTCCTCCTCCTCCTCCTCCTCCTCTTCCTCCTCGCTCCCCGGGTCGCTCCCGGGGCGGGTGTGTCGTCCCGCCGCCGCCGCCGCCGCCGCCGCCTCCTCCCCGCCGCTGTCACCGCCGCCCAGGCCGCCCCGGGGCTCCAGGGCCCCCAGGATGTAGTCCAGCCCGTCCCGCGCGAAGCTGAGCGGCACCGAGCCGCCGTCGCCCTTCTTCCTGCGCTTGTGCCAGCCCAGGCGGCGCTCCAGCTTCCGGATCTCCCGGTCCTCCTCCTCGTTGGCCAACAGCAGCGCCCGCTGCCGGGCGGCGGCGGCCTTCCCGGGGCCGGCCGGGGCCTTCCCGGCGCGGGGCGGCGGGGCCGGGGCCTGGCTCTGGGCCTCCCCGGCGCGGGGCGGCGGGGCCGGGGCCTGGCTCGGGGCCTTCCCGGCGCGGGGCGGCGGGGCCGGGGCCTGGCTCGGGGCCTCCCCGGCGCGGGGCGGCGGGGCCGGGGCCTGGCTCGGGGCGGCCCGCGCGGGCGGCGGGCGGGCGCTGTCCCCGGCGCGCCCCGGCCCCGCCGCGCCCCGCGCCCGCCGCCGCCGCCGCCGCCTCTCCCGGCGCAGCTCCTGGCGGCTCTGGCCGCCGCCCGCGCGGGAGCGCGCCGCGCAGCCCCGGCCCTCGGCGCCCGCGGGGGCCTCGCCGGCGGCGGCGGCGGCCCGCACGAAGCCCCGCACGGCCAGACGCAGACGCTTCAGGGCCCCCGCGCCGCCCCCGCCGAGGCCGCGGCGCCCGCCGCCGCGCTTCGTGCGCGCCGCGCGGCCTCCAGAGCCGCCCCGGCCGGCCGCCCCCGTGCTCGAGGCCGCCGCCATCTTCCGGGACGCGTCGTCGCGCGACTTCCGGCGGAGGCGGGACTTCCGGCGAGGCGAGGCTTTCGGAGGGGAGCGCGGCGCGGAGACCGAGCGCGGGGGCCGAGCGGCGCCCCCTGCTGTCCGGAGGGGGAGTCGCGGCGAGGGGCTGACTTCAGGCGTGGGGGGCGTGGGGGGGAGGACCGGCATGGAGGGGGGACACACAGACACACATGACCGAACCCCGCGAAAGCTAAGCAAAAGCGGGGCGCGACGACGCACGCTGGCGATCCAAGCCGAGACACGGGCGCTGCCGCGGGGCGCCGGGGCTCGGCCGAGCGCCAGGCCCTGGGTTCGAGTCCTCACCCACACGCCAGGGAAGCCGGAAGTGGCGCAGGCGGCCCGGGCCGGGGAGAGCCGCCGGTGTCCCCGCTCCTCCCGCTCCTCCGCGCCCGGTCGGTGCCTTGGCCGGCGAGCAGGCCCCGGGCCTGGGCCCACCACACCTCCTCCCCAGCCGCCTCCCGCCCCTCCGCTCACCCGGCCCGGGTCCCGCCCCTCCGCTCACTGCGGTTACTGTTACTGTTGTTGTTTGTACTGGGGATCGAACCAGACCCCACTGTGCGTGCGTGCGTGCGCGTGTGCGCGTGTCCGTCCATCCTTCCAGGGAAGTGTGGCACAGGAGGCCGCCTTCCGCTGCCCTGGCCTCCGGGCCTGCTGCGCACTCGGACGAGGTTCTGCAGGAGGAAAGGAAGAAGACCAGGAAGCACAAAGGAGGAGGCGGGGAGACAGAAGCAAAGCGTGGAGGAGTTCTCGCCCAGCAGGGGCAGGACAGGTGAGGATTTCAGGAGGAGGGAGAAGGACGCCCTGGCAGCAGAGCACCCTCCCAGCCGCGGGCCCAGCTCGCACAGGCATGACTTAGCCCATGAGCACAGGGCGAGAGGCAGCCTTGATGTAGAACAGACCGCAGCAAGTGACAGGAAGGCAGCACCCGGAGACAGGGCCTGCCACGGGGGACCTGGGAGCAGGAGCCGCAAGCCAGGGAGGCTGGTGACCGGTGCCATGGATTCTGGGACACAGGAGATGGCTGAGGAGGGGCGGCGTCGGGCAGCATGGGCACCAAAGTTCAAGCAGCGGCGTGAACCCTGGCGGTGGCAGAGGCATGGACCCTGCGGCCGGTGGTGGCACACACAGGCCCGTGGGTGTCCTGGCTGCCCTGGGCACGTGGGGAGAGCAGCCATGCCCCAATGCTGGCCCGGGGGCCACTGAGGGAGCCGGGAGCTGGAGGTTGGGGCGAGGTGGCTGGAGGTTGGGGCGAGGTGGCCGGAGGGAGAGTCCCCTCGCTGAGGGGGTCCTCGCTGGAGCCCAGGCCGCAGCCGCCCCCTCCAAGGCCTTGCGCTGGTCTGCGGGCCGCAGCGCCTCTGGCAGACTCTCCCAAGCAGGGTGCCCTGGGTCTCTTGCACCCCGCACAGGAACAACTGGAAACTCATGTTTTGTGTTGTGCACGTTTGTTTGCTTCTGTCGCAGTTCTGGTTTGGTTGCTTTGACTATGGACTATGTGTGGCATAGGTGGATAGAAGGACCCCTCCGCGCGCTCTGGCTCCTCCCCTCACTCTCCTCTCCAGCTCCTCCTCCTCCCTGGTCATCATAGCTGAGCCACAACAGCATTCAACCCAGTGTCCGCCCTTCCTGTCACCCTCTCCACTTACGCTTTCCTTCCATCTGCTAGTAGGACTCATCACATGCTCATATTTTGTTCTCTATCGATTTCGCTTTTAGCTAGTAACTAGAACGCCTTATTCTTTGTATGTGTGTGTACACTTGGTCAGTTTCTTCATCCCCTCCTTTCCTCCCTCAACACATTAGCTAATCTTTTCTGCAGAGCCTCTGCTGTTAAGCTCAGCTGCTCCCCCCCCTTCTCCCCATGTAAACACCCCCACACACTGCTCGCCATTACTACCTCCCCAGCCGCTCCTTTGCCAGCATGGTTCACACAGGTCCTCCTGGATCATCAAGGCGGATCTTCATAAAGACACCAAAGCCGTAGCCAGGCTGGTCTTCTTTGGTGACTGCCACATACACAGGTTATGGCTCAACTGCAAAAGCTTTTTTTATTTTTTATTTGTCAATCATGAGGCTTGAACTCAGAGCCTGGGCACTGTCCCTCAGCTCTTTTGTTCAAGGCTAGCACTCTACCATTTTGAGCCATAGCGCCACTTCCAGTTTCCTGGCTGTTAATTAGAGATAAGAGAGTCATGGACTTTCCTGCCTGGGCTCGCTTTGAACCTTAATCCTCAGATCTCAGTCTCCAGAGTAGCTAGGATGACAGGCGGGAGCCACCAGCTCCCATCTGCCAAAGTTTTGATAGCCAAGCTTCTTTACCCAGAGTAGAGAAGAGGTCTGCACCGTGTCTCATTGACATCGAAGTTGAACATACCACTTCTGAGCTGTATTCCTGCAATCTGGTAGCATGAAACTACACTGCAACCCAGCCGCCACTCAGTCTTAAATAATCCAGTGAAAGGATACAGGGGATTGAAACCTCCATCTAAAATTTAGGCTCCACGTGCATACATCTTAGAGCAAAGCAATCACAAAATTCATTAATAAACAAAGCAACATGTCTCCCTTAAAAGCCAATACCTGCTCTTTTAGTGTCAATGAACAGGAAGCAATTCCAAACAACAAATCAAAAAAAGGAGGACCAGAATAATCAAAGACATTAAAGAGATATCTAAGCAGCTAAGTGAATTAAAATAAGATACAGACAATTCCAGAGCTCAGAGAATTCAGATGAATAGCTGGAAGGGTTAAAGAAGACCGCAGGATATAGAAGATAAATTTGGCAATGATAAATTTTGAAAAAAATCAAATTGGAATTTTGGTAAGAAAGAGATAATTAGCTCAGATCTTAAAACCCACTAGAAGAACCTTGCTAATAGAATAGGACAAACTAAAAATAGAGCATCAGGGACCGAAGATAAAGCAGAGAAATTAGATCAGCCAATCAAAGACATTGGAAGACACTAGGAAAATAGTTCTGAAATTTACAAGACTTTCAGAAGACCTAATCTATGAATCATAGGAACAGAAGAAATAGAAACTAAAGGCTTAGATAGCCCTACTCAATAAACTAGCAGAAAAATTCACGCATTGAGAAAAAGATCATCCAGTTGGAGCAGGCATACAAAGCACGGAATGCACAGTATCAGCAAAGAAATACCCCTGGACATATAGTAGTTAAAGCACTGAATAAGCACAGCAAAGCATTCTGAAACAAAACAGAAGTCATACGTCGCATTCAACGGCGAGCCTGTTAGAATAGGAGCAGATTTGGGGTTACTTCTGTGTCATGGATCTAGGTTGTGGGTGTTGGGGCAGCAGGGAGCTAGATCATCCGCAGGAAGCTGGAGCAACGCTGCCCTCCGCCCTCCGGCCCCTCCCCAGCTCTGGGCCTAGCTGCATCCACCTCCTAAGAGACCTGCATCCACAAGATCCAGATCACTCCCTCCCTCCCTCCCTACCTCCCTCCTTCCGTCCTTCCTTCTCTCCTTTCCTCCTTCCTTCTCTCCTTTCCTCCTTCCTTCCCTCTCCCCCCTCCCTCCTTTCCTCTCACATTTCCTCCTCATTTTTGAGACCGTGGTGTCATCCACATGCCCTGTCTACTCACTTAACAAACGTACGTGTTCTTATTCTATTAAAATGCACCATTAAAAACATGTGTCTTATACATGTGTGTGTAGTGGAAGGAAAGGAGGAAGGGAGGAAGGGAGGGAGGGAGGGAGGGAGGGAGGGAGGGAGGGAGGGGTGGGCTACATTGAGGGGAGTACAGACAACCACCGAGGTGAGGCTGAGCTCTCCGCGGCTCTGGGTGTGAACGTAGCTGGGAGTTTGGGTTTGCTGCTGGGCTTGTGCAGCCCCATTGTGCCGCGTGTTTGCCTTGGGCTTGGAGGGGCCTCGGCGAGGGAAGAGGCTTCTGGCCGCTGGGGTCTGCGGTCTTGGCTGAGCTTGTTTACACAGGTCTGGGTTGTTGTTTAGAAGAAGTTACCAGCCTGGCAGCTCATCCTCTGACACCGTCATCATTTGTCAGATGAGTAAGGACTTGTCCTGGACCGGCAGGCTTGGTGACCGGAAGAGAAGGCACGAAGCTGTGGTTTGATGTGATTTTCAGCTTCCAGGCCAACTGTTTATCACATTAGGACATGGATCTATAAATAAATTTGAAAGCAGTGAGACACCGGGGGCGCTGTGGTAAGTGATTTGTAAACACGCTGTGTGTCGCTGACCCTGTACTGTTCACGTGGACGCTTTCGTTATGGTTATCAATTTTACCTCGATGACAAAGTCCTTGCAAAACCTTGGTTCCCTGGCACAAGCTGTGTCGGCCGCTCCTTCAGTATCTGACGAGCGGAAAGCTGCCTGTGTTCTGGCTGAATTTCAGCTGCATCTTCATTTTCTCAGCGCTTCAGCGCTTGCTGTGCGTGCACGGTCCCCATTGTCTCTGTTTCCTCTTGTCTAGAGACCGCGTCTCCCTTCGCAGCAAAGTTGCTCAGTGCCCTTGAATGCGGGCAGCCGCAGTTTGGCCACGTGGCCATCTCTCCTTGTTGATAAAGTCAAACCTGCTTTGTTAGTCATGTAAGGTTTTTTTCCTTACTTTTTTGTGTTCTGCAGTTTCTGTGCAAGGCTTCATGGACGAACATTTTGTGCTTGTGCAAGTCAAACTTAAACCCAGGTTGTTTCCCACCAATATTTGATGACAAGCCCATGTGCCCCAATCTGTCTGGTGTCAGCTTAGCTGGCACTGGACCCGGGCTCTGCTGCACGCGTGCGTGCCCTTTGTCTGTCCGTGGAGCCGTCTCGTTTTGCCCGGGAACAAAGTACCAGCATTTCAGAGCTAATTTTTTCAAAAGCATGCGACACCGTCTAGCACTGTCCCCTGACAGACTCGCTCGCCTCAAGGCCTCTCCCTCCCCATCCAGACAGCACAGCCACGGTAACAGCCGCGCCTCAACTCCTTGTTAGCCGAAAACCTCTTCATTCTGTTGTAAGGAGTTAAGTGAGCTCCCGAAGACAGTTGGAGGTGAGGCGGGGGCGGGGCGCACCTTCCTTCTCCCGCCCGCCGTCCCGTGCCAGCCCCTCATGACTGGGCACCGGAGGGCCCATGGCCCCTTTCCCCCTCTCCTGGGCCCGCTGAACAGTTCCCCAAATATCCC